GGGGAAGCTTTGCCGCGGCTGCTCGGCCCTGGGTGAACAGTCTGCAAAAAGGTTGAGGAGCTCCCCCAGCCTCTCCCTTCGCACCTTCAGGGGTAGAGGCTGGATTTTCTCTGCCTTCTTGGAGAGCGAGAGCGCTAACACCCTTTGCTGGTGGGACACGGGTTTTCTGTTCTGTAGCACAAAAATGATTTTAAAAAAAAGGGACTGTCTCTCCCCAGCGACTGGAGGCTGAGCGGAAGCGCTGGGGCAGCGTGTCTGTTTGGGGCCAGCCTTGCTAGAGTGGATTTTGCTTGGAGATACTCACGGAAGTGTTCACTTTGCCTTCTGCTTCCCCTATTGAAACAGGCAAGCTGCTGGCGTTTCCTCTAAGCCCGGGTTGAGGTGCTTCCCTTCCTCTTGCCTCACGCCCCAGAACGGTTAAAACCCTTCCCTCCATGGCGCCGCCTCTGACTCGTGCGTTTCCTTCTTCCCTGCAGGTCTGTGCAGACTTTTGCAGACAAATCAAAACAAGAAGCTCTTAAAAACGACCTGGTGGAGGCTTTGAAGAGAAAGCAGCAAAGTTAAAATCCTCTTGATGCTAACAAGACATGCCATGCACTCGTTAGATTCCTTTCTTAGAAAACTCATCCTCCTCCCCGCCCTCGCCCTTTTCTGTTCCGTCACGTCACGATTTGCATCCAGTACTCCCCACGCGACGCCATCTTCTCCCCATGAATAAAGCTGTACAAACTTTTTCAGTCTCTGAGGCCTACTTTGCACCACATTTTACGATTGACACCTTAGGCTACGTTTCTGTAGACGTCCATGTATTTTTTCTTTCCTCCCCTGCCTCCTCCTTCCCCCGGCCCCTTCTTCCACCCTCCCCCATTTGTCTGCATAAACCACGGATCATTGTTTGTCTTTTCCTCCCCAAACCCCCCCCACCCAACCCCGCCTTTTGTTACATTGGTGTAAAAAATGTAAAACAAGAATTTATTAAATACTGTGGTGTGTGAAAGAGGAAGAACTGGAAAAAAAAAAATAAAAAAAATCTATTCCATGTATGTTTGGGGGCCGGGTGCAGGGGATGGCCGGTGGGAGGGAGGGAAGAGAGGGTGTTCCTCGGTGTTGTACGATACTGACTAAACCAGATTCGCAAGGAGACGTTGATGAGGAGACCTGCTGAAAGTTCTGCTCTTCTATAGCCTGGTTCCAAGGCGCTTTTCTGTCAATTTTTACGGAATGCAAAAAGGGGTTTTTGTTTCGATTTTGGTTTTTTTTGTAAAGCTTAAATTGAATCTACATCTGATACTTGAGCCTCCATACTAAAAAAAAAAAAGAAAAAAAGAGAGGGAAAAAAAAAAAAGGAAAAAAAGACTTAAAAAAATAAAAATAAAAAAGTATCCCAGGAAGCAGTGTGTGCGGTTGGTGTCGTCCTTCTTTCTCTTTCCTTCCTCGCAGCGTCACTTGTGGTTTGTGCTGTAAACGCTTTCCTTGGGAGCGACTGG